TTGAGAGATGAGGTGGGAATTACCAGAAAACAGCTAGGAATTGAAAGGAGACAGGTTGGGATAAGAAGATGCGGGGCAGGGAACTATGGCTCTTTGTTACAACAAGCTTTAGTGATCTTGGACTTTCACATGCAAGAGACGGTGACAATAAAGGGATGAGAATGCCCATCTCATTACCCTCCTCTTTTCTCCCCCTCTTCTTCCAGGGCCTCCTCTGTTTGCACCCATGTCACACCCACTGCCTCAGTCCACTTGCAGAATGGACATCCTGAGCCTGTGCCGAGGTGAGCTCAGAGACCCTGAGCCCCAGTTCCAGACCACCAGGAGCCCCAAGCCTGGCAGAGGACACAGATGCATGCAGCAGCATCTGTGCAGCTGGCTGTGGCTCCCAGCTTCTCTCTCGGTCTCAGTTCTGGGCTCAGCATGAGGTTTTCAGCCCCAGAGAAATGCAGAAGGGGTGGTAGGAGAGGCTAGCTGGGGGAAGTTTCAGACATGATCACCATCTAGGTATAAGCACATGCAGCAACTAAAGATTTTTACTGAAACATGAAGAGGCTCTAGGATGACTAAAATCAAGCATAAATAATTCTAACAGAAATTCACAACAATGTGTTTCCCAGACAAATCATCATAGAGCAATTCTTCATGTATCTGACATTGTCAGGGAACGAGGCATTTTCCATGTGGGAATTTTCCAGTTGACTGATTTTTAGCATTGGTTGGAGCAATTTTGGATCAGCATCATTCCCAGATGAATCATACACGTTCCTGTCCCCTCAGACAGAACACCAGCTGACATTCTGGGTGCCTGAAGGAACATGAGCATATCTGCCTGGCCCCCTGCATGCACAGATGAGGACTTGACCTTTTCCCAACGACTCAGAGTCAGTCCCACCATGAGTCCTGCTCGTGGCACTGGGCAGGAGCACAGCAAAGCCCACGGGTCCCCAGATGGTGTCAGAATCACTAGGATCAGAGGCCAGCTGCCGGGGCTCTTCAATTTCAGCCTTGGATAACCAGCTGGACCTCAGCTTGGGAACTCAGGAAAGAAAACACTGGGCTGGCTGCATCCCCCATTCCTCAGGCTCACACGCCTGGCCTCTCCTCCTCTCTCACTTCTCCAGGGCTTGGGGACTACAGAGAAGATAATTATCATGGAAGACACAAGTGACACAGGCTCAGTTAGGCCAGGTCAACAGCTGGGGTGGCTGTTCAGATCAGGAGCCCAGCCCTCTGGGACCAGAGGTGAACCAAGGGCAGAGATGAGAACTAAGCCAAAAGAAGGGAGAATCAAACACCACTAACAGGGATCCATGGCAAGGGTCATCAGGGTGTCGGGGGGAGTCGCAGATCATGGGGAAATATAAGATTGTCTATCACACTCTACAGTGTTTATGTTTAGGCTTGAAACAAAGGGCCCAGGTAGTTTCTGATCTGGCTGAAAAGGGAAGCTGTGATGGGGACTGTTATGGGCTGAACTGCACGCCCCCAAAATCTATATGTTGAAATGCTAACTCTCAGTAGCTCAAAATGTAACTTTATTTAGAGATAGAGACTTTAAGCAGTTAATAAAACTAAAATGAGGGCCATAATGGTGGGCCCTAATCCAATATGGCTGGCATCCTTATAAGAAGAGAAGATTTGGACACACAGACCGAGACTATAGCCGTACGAGGACACAGCAAGAAGGTAGCCATCTGCAAGCCAAGAAGAGAGGCCTCAGAAGAAACCAGCCCTATCCAGGAACATATTGACTTCTGACTTCCAACCCCCAGGGTCATGGGAAAACAGAGTTCTGCTCTTTAAGCCACCCAGTCTGTGTTAGCCCTAGCAAACTGGTCCAGGGGCTAACACCAACACAAAGAAAATATACAGGTGGAGGGATGGGAAGTTACATAGAGGGATGACTAATGTATGGGTTTCTCAGATGAATTTCTGTCTAGACCTTTAAGTAACCATGAAGGCATAGTACGTTTTATCATTAAAAAATAGTTAACTGCCCTTTGAAAACTCTAAGCTATGGCCTGAGTCACAGTGCTCATGATTTCCACAGTGAAACATATAAGAACCTGAAATCTTTGCATTCTGAGCAGAGATCTAGGCTATCTACTCATAGGCTTGTGAATCTGGTTCCTGACCAAGGTCTGAGTGTAACCTCTGCAACTAAATCAAAACGCCACAACAGAGTATTTCAAGACACCAATCGGGGGTGGGGGTGGGGGGGGCAGCAGGTAGTATAGTAGTTAAGGCACTGGACTCCCACATGGCTGACCATAGTTCATGACCCAGACCTGGCAACTCGAAACTCATGCCAGGTGCATATGCATGTATGTCCAAGATCCTGAGAGGAGAATGGAGAAGGGACTGCAGTGTGGCCTTCCCCCGGGGTGGGGGTGGGGGATTTCTCACTTTCTGTCTGTCTCTCTCTCTGTCTCTCTGGTGAGTGCACATGCCCTATAGTAAAAGTCTCTCTAAAACAAACAAACAAACAAAAAGAACAAAAACAAACAAACAAGAAAAACACCAGTCAGACCACACTCCCTATGTGCTGCCTTAAACTCTGCCCATGGGTTGCCACAGCCATTAGATAACAATAAAATCCAGATTACAGTCTGCACTAGACAGGTGCACACGTCTGGCCATCCTGTCCCTCCAGCATCACGGCTTCCATTTTTCCCTCTCGAGTCAGCATCCGAGCTGCCCTGCTCCTTCAGAGCCCAGGACACAGCAGGCTGCCTCCTGGCACAGGCCTTCGTACAAACTGTTCCCTCCACCTGGCATCCTCCTGGCCTAGTTAACTCTGATCACCCTTCAGACTGGAGCTGCAGCGTTCCTTCCTCAGCAAGGCCTCAGATGACGGCCCTTCCCAGCCCCAGCCTAGGTTGAGTAGTCTGCCACTCCCTTATCTCCTGGGGGCAATGCACTAACATCTGTTCCCCCGCTGGTCCATGGGTTTCATGAGAAACAGTGGTGCATCTGTGGGTTCCAGAGACCATAGCAGGGTGTACTCAGCCCTGGGCTGAGTGGAACAGATGGGCAGTGAGCTGACTCGTGTGCTCATCTCTGGAGAAAGCACTCCAACCACTGGTTAATACAGGGGCCATAAACAATGCAGCTGATCCCAGTGGCCATTTGTCTCATCCTTGGAGCTTTCCAGCAGCAGCCCCTTACAGAGTCTCCACCTGACAGTCCAGGAAGGCTGCTGTTGCTGGTCCCAGAAAGGAAAGAGAGTGGATGGAAAGATGGCAGCTGGCATTGACCTGCACTGGGCACCTTCTACATGTGCTGCGGACTCTGCATGTGGACTACTGGGCTCCCTACACACATTATTTCAGCTCTTCCACAGCAGCCCTTAAAAGATAGGTAATAGTGTCCCTGTTTTTATAGGTAAGGAAAGACTAGGTAATGTTCATAAAGATTCAGAGCTGAAAACAGCCCAGAGTCAGCTCTGGATCTCAGGTCTGCCTATCCCAAGGTCCATTCTCCTCCCACAACCCACACTACCTAGAAACATATCAACTGGCTTAGGGGGCAGTGGCTTCTGCCTTTGGGCCATGAGCAGAGGTGCTTAAGGTCATGTCAGGCGGCTCATGAGTCCTCACAAACACGCAACATTGCCTGCCTTTGGAAAAACTATTATTTTTATACATCCAGATATAACCATTTCCAAATAAAGACAGATTCTGTCATGACTTGCATGATGCAAATTCCTCTAAATGGGTTTGCAGCAATTCTGTGAAGCAGGGGAAACTCAGGTGAGCACACGAAAATGACTTTTCCTCTTTGGGCTGTGAAGGGGCCACAGGTGATATATATCGTTGAGTGGGCGGGAAGCACAGGGTTTTGTTTTGTTTTGTTTTAGCCATTTGTATTTTTTAAAAAATTAAAGAATCTGCATCCCCAGTTCTTGTTCCTGCATAGACGCTCTTGGGAAGGGTATACAAGGGCACATGGGTAGCCTCTGAGGGGAAAACTCAATAGGTATGAGAAGGGACTCTGGACCAGCCTGTGGTCTGGTGCTTAATGCAACCAGATCCCACATGGCCACACCAATGGTTTGAGTCCCAGAACTGGCAGTTTGAGAAACACACTGGGCACATGTACATGTGTTCCCACAATCCAGGATGGAGAAATAGAGAAGGGATTACAGAATGACCATTCCCCTGAAGGATGCTTTCTTTCTCTCCCTCTCTCTTTCTCTCTCTCTCTTGTGAGCACATGCACCCCCCCAGGGAAAAATTGAAAGGGAATAAAAGGGGGGGGACTCGTCACTGTCTACCCTTCTGTGCCACTTGAATTTTGTATCATTTAAACAATTTAAAAAATCAAAATTTTAAATTAAATCAAAACATTTTTAAAGAATAATTTTATTTTATTTTATTTTTTACTTATTTATTTTAATTTGACCACAGAGAGACAAAGCGAGAACAAGAGAGAGAAAGAGAGAAAGCAAGCTGCCAGGACCGGGAGTCGAACTGCAATGTGCCATGTGAGAGTCCAGCGCCCTCAATCACCACACCACCTGCTGCACCCTAAATTAAATTAAAATTTTAAAAGATGAAAAATAAAATACAGCAATAACAGCAACAAATAAACAAAATGTTAAAGACAATAGCAAGAAGGCAACACTTAACCATATGGTGCAAAGTACTGAATTTCAGGATACACAGCCCAGTGCCCTCTTCAATTTCTGCACAAGAGGAGCCCTGCGATGACAATCAAGGAGACTGGTAATTGAGCCGGGGACTTGAACACCCAAGTCACTAAAGGTGACCTTGCAAACTTGGCCTTTTGTCATAAAACAGGCACAACCATCATTGTGCTCCAGCCCTGCAGGGCTTTCCAAATGCCACTGGCCCCGGGAGGAAGACCTAATTTTTGTTCTATCAGAATCAACCACGTGTTTCGAGTGTCCTTCCATCCTGCCCTTGTTCAGCTCCTCTGGCCTTGCCCCACCTCCATGTGCACCATGCACCCACCACCCGGGCTACCACACTCACATGGACAGCACCTTCACTTCCAGTATTTCGTGCCTCAGTTCCAGGCATCTCGTGGAGTTATATTCAAAAGGCCCCTCGTAAAATTCAAAGTACCTGGGAACCAAGAGGGACAGAAGTTACACAGAGAAACAGGCCATGTATCAGGAGACTGTTAAGGGTCTCATTGGGGACAGGGTTCAGGGACATGTTCCAGGCAAGCAAATAAAACAAACCATCCCAGCAGATCCCTGGCAGGGGACTCCAGGTGATCCCACAGGGCCCTTTGGCTTGATCATTGCTTGGTCAATTTCTCACAGCACCCCACTGCCCTGACGGTGTAAGCATTTACAGGAGCAAGAACCCAGAAAACCAAGCAGTGGAATTCAGAAACAGTTTGGTTCCAAGTTTGTGGATGCGAAGAAGAGAGGAAGGAGAAGGCTTGCTCTGTGCCCTGTGATCAGAGAAGGGAGAGATCAGAGTCACCGAGGAGTCCAGCAATGAGGCTGCAGACTTCCAGCCAGTCCTGCCCTTTCCTGCCCTTTTCTCTTTTCTCTTCCTCGTGGGAAAATGTCCTACAATGACAGCCACAACACAGCTGAGATTTCTACTGCTTTTGCTATGGTACCAAGCACTGCCTTTCCTATCAGTGCACCTGATCCTCGAGCTCCTGCTATGATGTAGCGGAGACTGACATTTCTTTCTCCCCATATGGCAGCAGAGGAAAGTGAGGCTAAACAGAATGAGCTCCAAGCCACACTGTCAGTGCAGGCCAGGACCAGGGCTTGGTCCAGGTTCAACTGCAGAGGGGCTGAGCCCTGTCCAGCACCAGCTGGTTCTAGGCATGTCACAGTCACCTCAGAGTCCTTCTGCCAGCTTTGTGCAGTATTACAATACCAACTTCAGCTGACACCTGCTGAGCCCTTACTATGGGCCAAGTGCTGAATAACCATGTGATATGGATGGATGCATTCACGTTTAATCTTTCTAGCTAACCTATGAGGAAAGTGACCATCACAAGCATCCTGAACAGGCTCTGGGAGTTAACTAACTTGCCTGGAGCCATACAGCTGGTAGGTGGCAGAGCTAAGATGTGAACCTAAGAGCTATTTAAAGGCTTCCTTTGCTTCCCTCTGGCTACAAGGACCACTGGTGGTCCCTGGAAAGGGCCCTCTGGGCTCCCACAGCCACAGAATGAGGAGCAGAGGTAGGTAAACCCTTTTTTCATGGCTGTTCTCTCTCTGGTTATTCAGGAACTGGGGCAGATGAAACTGGAGGGTTCCAGGACAGTCACAAATAAAGAACCAGAAGCCTACAGGGGCCCCCTGGTGACACAGTGCACAGCATACTGGATTATAGCACTAGAAGCCACATGGTCCCTCCAGGTTTAGATCCTCAGGCCGACCTGAAAATACCCCAGGCATGAGATTCTTAGGAGCTGGAGGGCTTGGAAAGGTGACCATGGTGTGATGAGGCCCTGTTGAGGATGCCTCTCTCTCTTGAATGCACATGTGCTGTATCATAAAGAAAAAATAAATAAATGAAAAGAAGGCTGCTAGGCCAAGCAGCTCCAAACATGGGTCCAGTGGCATCACAAGTAGCCATCAAGAATCACAAATAGCAGAGGCACATCAGCGCTGCTATTGAGCTCTGCAAGCCAGGACTTTGGATGTTGATCCTTTAGTATCCAGCTCAAATGCTCAAATTTTTGGGAAGCCTTTTTTGGCTCCCAACCCTGAGATCCTTCTGACTGTTATTTATAGCAAAATACATTGTATTATTAAAGTCTGTTAATTACCTGTGTCCTCTTCAAAACTGTGAACATCTCAAACACAGAGATTATGTCTTTGTTATCATTGTATCTTTTCCGAAGCTACATTTTCCAGACTCCTTTACAGCTAGAGTTCTGGATGCAATTTGGGTTCAACCCATCAGAAGTAGTTGCATGAAACTTTGATACAGAGCTGTTATATGAGAAGAATGGCCAAGGCCCAAAGCATGCTTTGTTGGTGCAGAATGTAACAAAGGTGGTATGACTCATGGAAACAGTAGTAGTGGCAGCACCTCCATGATTACATCAGAGGGAGCAGCTTTTGCTGTAGTCCCACTTAACAATGCAGCTTGGGGAAGCTCTTCCAGAAGCCCAGGCATTTTTTTTTCAGTTTTCCCGGTGATTTTAAACTATCTGTCTTCTTCATAAATCTCTTTCTACTTTAACTGGCTACAATGGATTCTGTTATCTGCAACTAAAGACAACAGGTCAGCCTGGGGCCACAAAAAAAGTCCATGACCTTGGTTCTAACTCACGTAGTTTTCCACTCACACAACAGTAAATGAGATCTGGTGTCTTGTCTAAAAGACTATCATTTTCAACCAGAGCCAGTGTCACTGGGTCAGGTGAAGTCATATTATGAGGCTGGGCCAGGTGAAGCCATATTATGGGATCCACTGGGTCAGGTGAAGCCATATTATGAGGCTGTTGCTAAGAAAAGTTCCATATTCAAATGATCCAGGAGATAATTAGGAGACTTACTCTACAGTTTTCACTGGGAGACTTGTAGACACATCTCAAATATGGCTATAAACCAGTTGTGTGACTTTGGGTAAATCACTTCCTCTCTCTGAGTCTCTATTTTTCTTTACCTTAAAACAATCTGTTTGGGGCCATCAGGTGGCATGGAGTTTAAGGCACTGGATCCCACATGGTTTACTATGTAGTTCGAGTCCCATACATACCTGGCATCTAAAAAATCACAATGGATATATGTGCAAAATCTCAAGAGAAGAATGGAGGAAAAGGATTGCAGCATGGCCATTCTTCTGTTGGGTGATTTCTCTCTTTCTCTCTTTCTCTATAGCAAGCACACATGCCCTATAGCTATATGCCCTATATCTGTTTGAACTAAGGTGGCATCTCCCCTTTGATCAGCCAGCGCCTCCACTTCTTCCACAAAGCCACCCCTGCCTTACCATCTCCACTTGGTCCTCATTACTCCTCAACATCACTCATATCCTAAACTAGGCAATATGATGATTCCAAATGGTCTTGTGCTATGTACTGGGCAGTTTGAGGATAGAAAGGCTTTCAGAACTGCCCCTCTGCCCTTCATTAGCCACTGTTAAGGTCTAAATGTTTGCAATCCCCCAAAATTCATATGTGGAAATCCTAAGTCCAAGGTGATAGTATTAGGAGATGAGCCGTGTGTGTGTGTGGGGGTGGGGTGGGGTGATCTAGGCTGAGTCCTCGTAAATGGGATTAGTGGCCCAAGAGAGACTCTTGTCCCTTCCCCCATGTGAAGATATAACAAGAGAGTACTGTCTATAAACTAGGAAGCAGGTCCTCACCTGAAGTTGAATTTGCCTTGATCCTGGACTTCTAGCCTCCAGAACTGTAAGAAATCTATTTCTGTTGTTTACAAGTTACCTGATTTATTATATTTTGTTATAGTTGCCTAAAGGGAATAAGACAACTATTTTGGGCCTGTCACTTTTCTTTGGGACTGTCACTTTTCCTTTCTTTCCTCTTCTTTTCTTTTTAGTTTTCAAAAGTTTCATTCTATAACAAATATAAACTTTATCATACAAACTGCTTAGTTGAGCATTTTAAAAAATATATACATATGATATGTTTTCCAGTGATTAAAATATTAATGGTAACTTTTGAAAGTTTTGCAAACATGAATCTTGGAACTTCTTTGTATAATCTTGAAAACTTAACAATTAATTATTCATATGGAAGTAAGCTTAAAAATTAGAGACAATTCTGAGGCTAGCTGGATGAGATAGCATTACCTAGAAAGAGGGTTTGAATATAATTTATAATTATAGGACTACATTAAAAGTACCCATAGTATAAGTTCCTTACTAGAACTTCTCACTGATAATTAAGCAAATGAAAATAATATTTTAGCAAGTCATGTTCAACTTTATGTCCATACAACTATTTATTCCAAAATCATTAATGATATGTATCAGTTTTAATAAAATCTGGCTAACTTAACTAAATAATTTGAGCTTTGTGAATCAGTCCATCAAAATGAACGATAATAGTGAAAACATTTCAAATAACTTTTTATCCTAAAAGATGTGACAAAGTATACTGAACAATAGTGAGAGTAACAATTTCAGAAATATTTGTTGACAAATGGGAAAAGTAGAGATCACAAAACACTAGTATTTACAGTATGACATTTCATTTGTGACTCTCTTCCTTGAAATTTTTATTCTACTAAGGAAAGATCAATGAGAAGGATAAGAAAGCATTTCACAGATTCTATTATAAATAAACTCTCTCTTTACTTTCTCATTAAAGCCATGCTAAATAACAGAAAAATTAAAATGACTCATTTTATTTCAGAAAATTATTTTTATTTTTAAATATTTATTTTTTCCTTTAATTTTTTGTTTCTGTTTTATAACTTTGCTTTTTAATTTTGATTAATCTTCTACATTCAATCACTATACATCACTATAACTTGTAAAATTAACTTACCCACCATGAATACACTTCACACCGGTCCAGCTGAGGATACTATACACATTATCATCAACGGATAACAATCCATTTCTGTATCCCATGTCTTGCCTCTCTATTTTTCTCCTTAATTTCTTTCCTCGCACTCTCCTCCATCTCTCCCCCTCTTCTCACACTGTCTCCAGTATCCATAACCATTTCCCATGCTTCTATATCCTCTAATCTATCCATTTTCACCAGAGTGTGGACAGTCATATATATTAAGTGAAGACACATAATGTCACTTTTCTGAGACTTAGTTTATCTATAGAATCAGCAAAAACAATGCAGTGCATGTGTGATAGGATTGAGATAAAACATTGATGAGCATTTCGGAGAAGCACGGCACACAGGGGTGCTTGTGTTCATTCCCCCACCCCCTCCCCGTCCCCCTTCTTCTGCCACTAAAGGGCAAGTGCTGCCAGCAGACTCCACAGGGAGCCTGGAGAGTCAGTCTTGCTTCCAGTCGCTCAGCTGGTTGATGGCAGAGCTGAGTCAGGAATAAGTAATCGGAAGTTTTCCCACCATCTGCCTCCAGGACATCTTCCTGCTGCTGCAATTAGAAAACCTGCCCGCTGCCACCCTGTGGATAAAGCCCGCACCA